CGTCCGTGAGACACGCACCTTCTTGGGGTTCGCGGGCTACTATAGACGTTTTGTGCCAAACTATTCTGCTATTGCCCGGCCTTTGTACAAACTAACGGCTGGTCAACCTTGTAAACATTCTAAATTAAAGAGGCAGTTACCGCCACCGTTTCATTGGGCCGACGAAGCTCAAGAAGCTTTCGACACATTCGTGCATCACTTGTGTAACCCGCCTGTGTTGGCATATGCCGATTATTCACAGCCCTTTGAATTGCACACAGACGCTAGTACTCAAGGCCTTGGCGCCACGTTATACCAACTGCAGGACGATGATGAGGGTCGCAGACTTAGACCTGTCGCGTATGCTAGTCACAGTTTGTCTCCCAGTGAGTGCAACTACCCTGCCCATAAACTGGAGTTTTTGGCGCTTAAGTGGGCGATGACTGAGAAATTTCACGATTACTGTTATGGGAATACGACCGTTGTGTTAACCAACAACAACCCATTGACTTATGTAGCAACTACCGCTAAACTCGATGCTACTGGTCACTGATGGTGGGCAGCCCTGTCAAACTACAACATGTCCATTTGTTACCGGCCTGGATTCAATAATGCAGACGCTGATGCGCTGTCCAGACGACCTCGTTCGACGCCAACCGCACTAAATGAACAGGATGACCGCTTTGACGCTACCGTAGAACTCGGTTCCGCCGAGATCCGTGCGATTGCCCAGGGTTATCTTATGTCAGACGAGACACCTTGGGTGGAGGCCATTGCACACACGACTACAGCTATACCTAACGAGTTCCTATCTCCGCCAGAGTACCCTGGTGAGTCATCTCTCATCTCAGTGTCTCCTCGAGATTGGGCTGAATTGCAGAAACACGATCTTGTTATATCGCGACTTATCCATTGGAAGCGAATCGGAAAACGTCCTGATCGTCGCCAGAAAGGGAAAACGACGCTGGTATTATCAGCATTACGCGAGATGGATAAACTATGTTTTAGAGACAACGTTATATACCGAACTAGATATGATAATTTGGATAAGAAATGTTTTCAGTTGGTTTTGCCCTCCAGTCATCGTAAGATCGCTATGGCTGGAGCGCATGATCAAATGGGACACTTTGGATGTGATCGTAGTCTTGAAACGTTGCGATCTCGGTTCTACTTGCCGCATATGGAAAGCTATGTGCGGAATTATGTGCGAACTTGTAAACGGTGCACTCGGAGAAAAGACTCGGCAGGCTTTAAGACCCGAGCTGATATGATACCTATCACGATCACACAACCATTAGAACTGGTTGCTATGGACTTTTTGTCGTTGGAGGAGTCGAAAGGGGCATTGCTAAGATATTAGTGCTCACCGATCACTTCACAAAATTTGCTATGGCGATTCCGACTCGAAATCAGACAGCTAAAACTACCGCCAAACATTTGTACGAGGGGTTCATAGTTCACTATGGGGTCCCTGAGCGCCTACATTCACCCCAGGGTCGTAACTTTGAATCAAAAGTGGTGCGCAAACTCTGCCAATTGTTGGGCATCGAGAAGTCCCGTACTACGCCCTACCATCCTATTGGAAACGGGCAGTGCGAGAGGATGAATCGTACATTGTTCAACATGTTGGGTACGCTAGAAAATGACAAGAAAGCCAATTGGAAAGCATACGTTCCCGCATTGGTCCATGCATACAATTGTACGCGTCACGATACCACAGGTTTTTCACCATACAGGCTTATGTTTGGAAGGGAAGCTCGTACTGCACTGGATGTGCGACTGAACGTTTATCCCAATGATTAGAGACCAATTATATCTACCTCCAAGTACATACATGATTTGGAACAACGAATAGAAAAGGCTAGGCAGATTGCTATTCTGGCTAATAGAAAGTCACAAGCCAGTAATAAGCGTCGTTATGACCGTGCTAAGATTATACCGAATGAAACCCTGCACACAAACGATCTAGTGTTGATAAAAAATGTTAAACTTCGGGGCAAGAATAAGATTGCCGACCGGTGGGAAGATACACCCCATCGCGTGGTAAACAAACTTGAAGTTCTCCCTGTTTATGTCATTAGACCTGATAAGGGTGGGAGGACCCGCACCGTTCATCGAAATTTGCTCAAGCCCTGTGAAGATATGTTCACCAGCAGTGGATATGATAGTGATGGTATTGACTATTATGTATGCGAGAATGTGGCTGACGGGTTGAGGACTGTAAACCCACGGATGGTAATGAACGAAGCTATCGAGGGATCGCATAGGAGCGCAGCATAGGTACGTTAAAGCCCCAGATCCGTTTAGTCGTGAGACTTTCTTGCAAGGTATTTCAGACACACCTTTACCAGCCAGTGCTGGAGATATCGATAGACATCGGCATGATGTTGATCGTTTGTCTGATACTGTTCACGAAGTTAATGCGCAAATACAAAACGAAGGTGCCATGTACGATGCATCTGACGAGGATGAATCAGCCATTAGTACTCCAGCACAGTCGGACAACGATCCGACGGAGATGACTTGCACGTCATCTGATGTTCAGTTACCACGGCGATCGAAGCGCGTACGTCACGCACCTAGGACTTGGAAGTTTTCTCCATGTGAGTCGGCTAACGTCTCTGACGCGCATGGAGAGAGTACGGCAATGACTATTAATGTCGCAATGTCTGGTGTCGCACCGATACGTAGATCTAAGAGGGTACGCCATCCACCGAATAGATGGGGGTTTTCCTCCTGCTTTAAGGTAACCGGAGCAAAGGGAGTTCGGTACGGTTAGTAAGTGTGCATTGCGGCACATTTACTTAAGCTTACTAAGGCGGCATTGCGTTGCGGTACCTGCGTCGACTTGCCATGGCCAACATCGTGCGGTCTTGATGACGTTTTCTCCGCGTTTAGATACCGTCACCCAGTGTGTATCAGTGTATCAGTTAGAGAGGGTCGGTTTGATCAGGTCGGTTTGAGATTGCAGCGCGTTGTGCATTGTCGTCAAGGTTAGCATCTGCGGTTTGCAGTATTCTCGGGATCTCCATGGGACATTACGTTGTAGGCTTATGTTTCAGGGGAGCAGTGGGTGAGCTGTATATATGTATATAGTGTTTTTGGACTTCTTTTTGTGAAAAGCTTGGTTTCGACAGATGGGTGGAGCGTGTATTCTTAGTCAGTAGTGGTTCGTGTAATCGTTTTTTGGTTTACTCGCAAGATTTGTAGCAACAAATCTGAAACCTATGTATAGCTTATATTACCCAGCACAGGCATGGTTTTCTTAGCAATCTGAAAGGCTATGTGGTGCGTCGCGATGTTGTTTGCGGAGCCACCAACAGGTGGGTTGTCCGTGGGCATATCAGTGGGTGGGACTCGCACGATTGCGACAGACACTGCCCTAGGGCGACATCAGCACTGTATTCCCTATATCCTCTAGTTCTGGCTAAGGCCAACAGGTACACGTGAGGAGTTTGAATGAGTGTGCATATTGTCTAGTGTGAATCAATTCGGTGTACACGTCTCTATCTTCTGAAACATTTCTAAAGAAAACATTTCTAAGGACATTATATGTAAAGGTTCTATTGACGATCGAATGACGCCCACGTTTTCGCTAATGCTGTGCTTTTCGAGTTTGTTGACCTTGTTTCCGCATTACCCTGCTTCGTTTGGGTCTGCCTGGGTATGCCCCGGTGCTTCTGTGCAGGGGGAG